TGCTTCTCTGGGAAAATTACCCTATATATGGTAAAATACTTTCAGTTTTTCATTATCATTGAAGTCAAGGGGGTAGGTAATCAGAATAATCACTGGGTGCATGCTAGTTCTTCAAGCAAAAGAAACTTTACTTTATTGATTTCTTTTTTTGTAGTAGTAAGACCCCAATTTTCAAATCCTTTTTCAAGGAAAGTCCAGATCTTGCAGCTTTAATACATAAGGAAATGATTTTGCATTCAACAAGACTGGCAGTTTGTCTAAACAGAAAATAGATTATTTTCCAAATCCACAAAAATGTTAAACAAATCATTGCTAGATCATGTGCAAGACCTGTCTTGCACTGTTGCAGCTATTGATGTTGGACTACTGAAGCAAGATCCATTTTGATACAGAGAATGGGTGTGGACTGAGATTCCAGGTTTATATCTCTCTGTCTCACAGCTCAGGGAACACAGTTTCTATGTAAATCTAAAACGTGTTAAGAATTAATGAGTGAAGGTCATAAAGAATATAATTTCAATAAGAGTCTGGTCTTGTTTGATTTATCTGTTTTTCTTAGTCTGAAAATCATCTAAGCCTAATATAACAAAACCAGGAATAAACCACAGTAAATTGGTTACAAGAAAGCTTTGGAAAAATTATCTGAGCAAACCACAGTTAACAATAACAGTGACTGTCAGTTGCTTCACAAAACGAGATGGAAATTTGATGGCATACTGCAAGGCAGTAGGCATGCAAGTCAACACTAAAATGTCTAGTTATTTCTATTTCTGTGTAAAATGTTAAATGGCTGAAAAAAAAAGGATAGTCATGCCTATGTCATCTGCAATTAAAAAAATTACATGATTAGATGGTATATCAAGTGTAAAAGCTGTTTTCATGTGCTGAGACCTAGGTTTGGGTACAGTTTTGACTGAAGTCATGTTTAGAAATATATTTCCTTTTTTTCAACATGAGGACAGTCAGGCATTGGAACAGGTTGCTCAGAGAAGTTATGCAGTCTCCATCTCTGGGGGTTTTCCATACCAGACTGGATACAGCCCAGAGTTAGACCTTGATCCCATGAAGTGCTGAGAGCCTAAGTATGATTCAGCAAGGACCTCAGAAATAAGAAAAGCTTTTAAATGCTTCTAAAGCCCAAAGATGCATGATTTAGGAGTTCAGTGCTTATGAATTAAGACCAAAGCCTCCATGATGTATGTGACTTAGACGGTCACATCCCATGAGTGCTAAGATTGTATTACGATAAGAAACAAAACATAGGTCAAATTCTTTCATAGAGAAATTATTCTGATGAAATCCAAATTCTTCAAAAGTTACTTTATCCCATCTTAAAAGATGCAAAGAAAATTAAAATTTGTCTGCAATACTAAGAGACAGAACTAACAAAACCCACAAAGCAGTACGCACCTGTAGCATACTGTGCCAAAAGCAAATTTTTATCACATGCCTATGAAAACATCAATTTGAAGTTACATTCTGCAGTTAATTTCATACAGGGAATAGAACGCATTCAGTTCGGTGTTAGTTGCAGGACTAGAATATAGTTCAATTGCTAAGACCTGTATTATAAACAGTAATGTTAAGGAAGTCTTACAAAAAATATTCTCTTGTGAAAAAACTCGAAAAACTGATATATAAATCATTATTATCACCTGCAAAAAAGACCTGTCTATCTGCAAAAAAATTATATTTATCTGGCTCTGAAACATGCAACTAAGTTTGTTGCACAATTCTAAAACTGTATTTGAACTTATTTCTTAGTTCTAATAATCTAACAAAAAACCCAAGAAAATTAATCTTAGCAGCTAACATTTAGCTTTGATATCTTTGGTGGCTTCCTGAGTTATGATAATGTCGGACTAGGCCTTGAAATAATAGCAATATTTTTTAAAATGCTTTTTATTAACTTAAATACTGATCTCCAGTTGCAGAAGTTCTCTGAGGCAAGTTATAACTTTTTGCCATGTTGTATCTATTCTTATAAGTATACAATAAGATAAGCTGTGACTTACTGTACAGCAAAATTTACTGAGTTCACAGAGCTGTTACCTTGGCTCATGATGTATTTTGTTCTTATAACTTCCAGCCCTAGGTTGAGGTTACAACAGGTTAAAAGCAACATTTAAAAAAAAAGGTTTTTTTGGGCTAAACGTGAGATTCTATCTCGATAAACATACCTGGGACAGCTAGAGAATAGCAGCTATTATATCACATAAGAAGACACCACAGCAAAGCTATAAACTATAACAATTAATGGGAGAAGTTATTTTACAACAAAATTCATCGTCTGACCCTGCCCAGTTCATCTTATGCAGGACAACTGCTCTATTCAAGTTACACCATAGAAGAAATTTAACTATTCAACAAAAAATAATTTTAAGTAAGTAACATTTTAAAATATGGTAGTACCCAATATTGATAAGGCTACTTTTTAGGAAAATGCAAAAAAGATTGTGCTTACTAATGTATTGCACGCAAAAACACCCCTTTCTGCCTCAGTACTATGTATTTAGAGAGTACATAATGTCAAGTTTTTTTCAAGCTATTCACAGCTAAAAGCTGGACAAAGCAGTACTAGATTCCATTTTCCACTTTCCCTGCATAGTGCAGCACTGAAATGTAAGATTTAACAGTGTGTTGGAAATACAGACTACTTAATGGAAGAGTAAAACTTTCTGCTATGCTCACATGTTTATTTTGCATGAGATAACACAATCCATCTGTTGGAAAAATCTTCACTGAATATTATATCTTAGTAATAAACATGAATAGAAATCAAGATTATTGTTTTTAAACCCAAAACTGAGGAACAGTGAGCCTTATACAGAAATACATTTAGGAACCTGAGGCAAATTATACATGTTAATGTTGGAGTCACTGAGAACAGTTAACACAATGTAACCAAATGTCAACTGGAATACTGTGCAGTAACTTACCGAAGAGGTCTGCGTTTAATGAACATATGAACGCTGGTTTCTAAGTTTTCAGCTTCAGATGGTGAAGATTAAGTGCTAAGAGTGTTACTGTAAACGTTTAAGCTAGATGAACATCACCCATTTTCTAATTTTACCACATGGTTTATTTCAGAAGAAAACAAGCACCAGTTACATAGTTCTCCTGCAAGTCCGTAAACAGTCCCACAAGAAAACTCAATACAATTTGCTTCTTTGTTTATGTGCAGGATATTTAGTTTGGTTTGCAAAGTATTAGAAGAATAATAAGAACCTCCTGACAGAATACCACAACTAAATTTCTAAAAAGCCACTCGGTTAATCTCGGTGTTCAATCTAGCTGTTTCAAATTATTGTAATGTATAATAACAGGCTTATTGACAATATAGATGCACAGAGCCAAAAAAAGCTAGAAAAAGGGGCCAAAATGATGAACTAAGCGCCAGCCCAAATGACAACAAACATATGGCCATTAACCGAAGAATGGAGAGGCTTAGGAATGCAGCTGTCTGTGGTCTCCTAAAAGTTCCAGGGGAATGAAATGCTGTGAGGATTGGCAAAGCCTGGATGAGAAGTACTACTGAAGATGGTAGGTCCTAAAATGGAGTCAACCCTCAGCTCATGTTGGAATTTAGAGATTTCTGTGGTCAGAATATATTCATTCCATTGGCCTCATAATGTATATCAACAAATTAATATTGTATGGATGTCATTTCAAAGCCTACTGAAGACGAAGAGCCATTATTGAGGCCATTAGAGCACAGATGGTTCAAACTATATGCAGATATTCATACTTGCATTTCTGCATTATAGCTGTGGGTTTTTTCTGTTGAACTGTAATGAATTGTCTCATAATCTATTCCATCTTCTTGCCATTAGCAGGCTTTGAATGTTCACAAATAGGAGCAAAGAACTCATTTTCCAGAGCTTTAATCACACAAAGAGGGAATGCCTAATTCTCTAAATGAAATGGTCTGTGATCACTGAAGCAGAGATTTAATATATCACGGCAAATTAGGTATATTTTAATAAATTACTTATCTCTCTGAATACTTTACATATGCTTATGAAGAAACATAGCCTGTTTGCAAACAGTGGAAATCCACAGCCTATAAAATCCTTTGAAGAAAATGACAAATAAAAAAGCAAATTAAAAAATGAAATGTATTATATCCTCATTCTCAAGAGACAATCCTTTTGCAGCATTGATTCACAGCTCCATTAAAAATATCAATTAAATCCTTCACTGAGATTGGTTAAAAGATGGAAAATTAACTTCCCAAGCTAGACACTGGTTTTTCAGATACAGCTATTCATTGTGTATGTTTGAGGTAAGTTCCAGAAGTGACAAAAAACCAAATGAAAACACAGTTGCCTGTCCCTACAGCTCAAACTAGGTGAAGCAAAATCTGATCCTGTATGGCTTCTTTTTGTGCTTTGACAGATGTTGGCTCCAAGTAAATCTTTAACTGTAGAGAAAAATGATTGTGCCTGCCCTCCCCCTACTTCAGATCATGATAATCATAAACAGCTGATTATAATGTTAGCAGAAGGGTAAAAGTTATTTAAAAAAAGGTTGCAGTAATTTAATAAGTCCTGCAACTGGCTTCATTTTTTATATTTAATTGATAGGAACTGCATGCATCAAAGAAAACACATACTGAGATTTAATGTGCATAAAATGGATATTAGCATTTTAAAGAGGCAGATTAACACATTAATCCAAGTAATTTTCATATATTGCTTTTAATAAAATCTTCACAGTATAAAATTCTTAATGAGGCTAATCACAGGCATTCCATTTAGTGGGGTGATTAGGGATAACATAAAAGTATTTTTAATCAGTTTTCTAAGGCTTATGGGTTTTTTATTAAAAATTAAAAATTTGACTTGCATTTTTATTACTGTTTTATGTAGGGAAAAAAATCTTGAAAATGCAAATAAAGCACACCATTCAATCATGTAGGTATTAATTATTTACAAGACGTTGTCCATTGTGGTGAGATTCTTAGCCTTAGGGGGGAAATATAAAAACAAACAGACTAAAAAGTATACAAAACTTTACAACTACAAATCAAGCATCCTTTTCATATAAATTATACATTAAATATACTGTAAGAATACAAAGATCTCATCTTTGAAGCACTATCAAGCATGTATTTACACTGGGAGAAGGAACTTCTGTAGGCAAACTTCCCTTTCATGCCTCCGAGTCATCTTTGCATTCCTCGTAGACTGAACGCAGCGCGTGGAGGGCTTCCACTGTTACTTTGAGCTTTCCAATTACTGCACTAGCATCTTGTGAATCAAAAACTAGAAAGGGAACACGAGAAAACAGCATTAGCAATTTCATTTAAGATTTTGCTTTTGTTCTGATAATTTTCCTTAGCATTTGGACAGATTAAAAGGCACCTAGCATATGCTTGAGTTAAAAAAAAAAAAATTAAAAATAAATCTTCCAGTTCAGACACTCAGCCTACTGGAAACTGAGTACTCGAAGGACTAGAAAGTACATCAATACAAGTCTTAATGTTGGAATTAACTTTGAAATAAAAATATCAGTATGATAATTGTGTATGTAAATTAACTTTTTGCAACATGTAAATATAGATGTTCCAAATTCTATTAAAGATATCGATGCATACTTATAAATAGTTTTAAGCAAAAAAACCCATGGACTGATCAATTTTCTACACTGAATGTATAAGCAGTTCAAGTAAGTCTGGATAATTATTAGTATTTAAAGAGTATTTTTTTTTTTTTACAGTTGGTGCAATGCAAAGTTCTTTTAATTTCAGGGTTCTTTCTGTTATAAAATAGTGAGGCATCAACAAAGATGGTAGGATTGTTCTCCCCTAGATTAAACTATTTCACTACTTTCATACCTTATGTGTGGGTTTTAAAGTGGTATTTAAAATTTCTGTTTTACAGAAATTAGCAAACGATATAAAATTGCACTCTTCTACAATATTTAAGTAAGCCCGAAGGGCCACAACCTCTGCTGCTATGATTAAGAACATGCTGCTAACAGTCAAAAATTAGGCTCTTTCCCAATCCTACATAAAAAAGCAATAAGGCTGCCTTACATGACTTCAGAAGGAATTTGAATAAAAACAAATAATCTTGACAGGGCATCTTTTCAAGGCAAACTATATAGCAGAGAAATGGCAAGCTTATGTATTTACTATATAAACTGGGATAAGTGTACTGGGAAACGCAATGATACTGCATGCTATAACTTAAGGCTGCTGGGACAGCTCAGAAGAGGTTTGGAGAAGTTAAAACATGAGATAAACCCTCCATCACTTACTTTGTTGATAGAGCTATTATAGGACAGATTGGATGCTACTCTTAGAGATCTGACCCATTTTGTGTATCCTTGGACAAATCGCTCAGTGAACTGTCAACTTCAGAGCAGACTTCAGGGAACATTATTGTTCTTACTTATAAGAACAGCAGGATAACCATAATCAATGATGTCAGAAGATAACATGAGTTCTGTTTTCTCCGTTTTGACATTGCCATATCGTCTCCGGGACATACTCTGATATGCCTTGTCTATACTCTTTCTCACCCAGCCTCTTGCTTAGCCATTCACTTAATTGCTTCAAATTTCATGCAGGCCACTTTCACACAATCAGGAATTAAAGGAACACGATATGAATACGATACATGCTTATAGTCCTCAAAAAGCATGAAGTTTATGTTATCTAATTAAAGATTATTACATCTTCATGTGGTAGGGTCCTATAAACTTCCCCATGTCTAGGTTTATTCTTTTTCCTTCAAACCAGTATCCACTACAGAGCGCATACAATATTATTTAAGAACTCTAGTTACCGTGCCATTACATTTAATTGCAGTCTGTGTCCAGATCGTAAGAACAGATCTTTTCGCAATTAATTTGACCAAGAAAATATCCTGATATATTCCACTTTTTGCCATGATCTGACATATACTAATGTAAAATTCATTTCAATTCTGTGAAAGTTCTAAATTTTCAGAAAATATGGTTATGGATGCAGTAAAAAAAACCCCTAAACTATACAGTATCTGCAGGAAATGTGAGAAATGTGGACAGGAATAAGAATATAAGAATTTTTATCTATTGCTGTCCCACTCAGATAATATAAATAAAGTAAAAATTAGTTCAAATGTCTTATGATTAGGGGAAGAAACCCTCCTGACAATATTGAAATAGTTGTCATTACATAGCAATAATTGACTTTTGACAGAACAGCTAGTAATAAAAAACAGTCCTTCCTGTCATAATAATTATTTCAGATGACGATTAGGAGTTTTAAGAGTATTGTCAAATACGAATATTTAAAAGACTACATTTATATCACTAATTAAATGGGAATTATAACAATAGGAATTATGGCCATAAAATCCAGAACAAAAACAATTTTGCAGTGAGAGACTATGAAATACCTTTTTAGGGATGTGCAACAACTACTTGGCAAAAAAACTACTGACAAAAAGATTAAGTGGTTCAACCACAATAAGAAGTGCATCAAACCTCTAGATTATTCTTCCAAGGTATGGAAGTTTGATTCTTCTTAGAATTTTCCATATTGTGTTCCTGGAACTTTGATGCATACTTTGAGTATCTTAGCTATAGCATAGATGCCAGTCATGCATGACAATGGAAAAGGATAAGAAAGCCCATTTCTCTGCCTCACTCTCCAGCTTCCCATCACTCAAGCTATGACAATTGGACACAGGAGCAGTAGTAGCAAAATCACATAGCCTAGCATTCTGCTAAGGCTAACTGGAATTCTTAGTGTTGTGAAGAGGACCTTGTGAACATGGGAGCACTGTCACTAGTAAACAAGCTGGTTCAGTTACCATTAAAAGAGAGAGTAACTGTTTTGTAAGATATATACTGTCAGCTTTTTCACTGGGCTTTACCACAGAGGGGAAAGAAGCTGAAGAGGAACAAGTAGGGAGAAAAATGTGTCATTGATAACCCTGTCATTGCTACCCTGGGGAACAGGAAAGCCTAAGCAAGGAAAATATTCTCCTTCACTGTCTGCAAAATGAGTGAGTAGCCTTCTTGAGTCTTCCCATCAGTACTGCAAAAGTGCCGTCCTAAGGTGCAAGAAATAGAAGATTCCACACCTCCTCCTCACCTCACCTTGCTTAATAAGTCACAGTGAAAGTTTGGTCACCATCTGTTATAGCAGGATGCTTTAAACTGATACCTAACTAAAGCCACCAGTATTTCATACTGTCTTAGATACAGGTTTCATACAGAGGACACAAGCTATAAATATTTTGGGGGTTAAAACAGAACTTCAAATGAAATATAGACTTTTTTTTTTTTTTAAAAAAAAAGAAAGACTTTAAGGAATAACAATAGTACACAGTTTTGGCAGACTTCCGTAGTTGTTTGTGAAAGTAAGGCTTGCACAGTAAAGCTTGCAGAGCAAAGCATAAATTCAAGAAATAATTTTTAGGTTACAAAAGGTTACAAAAAAGTAATCTCTCAAACTTACCATCAATATCCTGTTCAATGATATCTCTTTGCTTATGGAATATATCTCGCAAACTAATGGCAGCAAAACCAATATCTTCACATTCAAGTTCCTGTTCATCTTCTGGGGTATCAGTGACCACTGTAAATTGTAGGCTAAGCATACACAGACAAGCAAACATGTCAAAAAGGGTCGAAAATCAACACAAAAGCAAGAAAAAAAAAAATGACAAGGTGTGCAACTCTATCAATATATTCAACTTTTTCCATGACAAGAATAGTCCAAGACCCATCATTTTAACTCTTCCTTTAGCATTATTTAGCAGTACTAGAAAGACAGAGAGGTTGTAACCACAGATCTGCAAGCTGATAGAATTGTTTTCTTTTTCTCCCCTGTCCCCACCTGTGGCAGAATCCTTGTTCATATGGCAAGAACAGGCAGAAGAGTCTAAGGATTAAAGACTTTTTCTGTGCTTGAAACCTGCAAGTTTGCTTAGCTCAGCTGCTGAAACAACTGCTCACGTCACTTAATTTCTTTAAATTTACCCCCTACTGGTAAAAATCAAGAACTTATCTATATAGTTTGAGGATTTTATGGCAAAACCTATTTACATAAAACATTAAAAAATATAGGTGTGTGTGGGGGTGTCAGGTTTTGTTTGTTTGTTGTGTTTTTTTTTTTATTGTTATTTCAATTTTTTTGCTGTGTTGGCCATACCACGCAAATTATTTGATGGAAGTAAACAGAAACAGTTCATAAGCAATAATGGAAGGTTTAGATTAAATGTGATTATATTTTGTTGGTTTAGACACTCTAATACCATAACTTTATTTACAAAGTTCAACTACTTCAATTCAGTCAGACAACTTAAGATGCACCTGTATGATTATTTCAGCTTTGATGTGGAGCATGCTTATGAAGTAAAACTTTTCAGTTGTCCTCAGTTACGGTGCTTTACTTGCATAGTAGTTGTGGAACATGTTAATTGGGTTCTTGTTGGACTGGACTAAGCTCAACTGAAGAGGAGCTCCAGGACTACTTACCCCTAATGCACTCCATCACAACAGACATTCAGTCAGTAGGATCAATTAGTATTCTGAATTTTCAAAATTGTTCTGAGAATCTATGTACTGTGAATACCAGACCATTAGCAACAACTGCTTTGCTCTAGAGACTCTCTGGTCTGCACTATTTGATAGTTTAGGCCTCACCTTAGTAAATTTTAAGCCATGCATTTTCTTGGCTTTACATTTAGTGCCGTGGGAGACACGAGATAAATAATTGAGAAAGGCAAACCATATCAAACATTTTCCTGATATCAGAAATACTAGCCATATTCACTGAAGTATTTCCAAACACCAAATGTAGGGTATTTAGCTGAAAGATATTGAGAATTTTCACACCTCATTTAGATACTTGGAGAGGCTATTCCAACCAAGAATGCATTCCACAAAAATAAAAGAAACCTAAGTCCTCTCAAAATAGCATCATTCTAATGTTGGCTTGTGTATTCATTACATAAAGTTGGACCCTACACAGCACTTTATCCTGCACTTGGTTCCCTCTGACCAGTACATATCATATTTTATCTTCATTATTCTGCTCCTGTTTTACACAAACTACCTGTGTGTACAGCCGAGATACAACATCCTTTGAGTATTCTTCATCTAAACACAGCCTGTTTGTCTATCCCCAAAATCTAAGCCAAACAACCATACAAAATATTTGCATTTCTTCTGTGAACTTAAATTACATTCACTGCATCCAAGTATAGCTTTTCTTTTAAACACATAATTCCAGTATTGTGCTGGGGCTGACTTGAGTTAGCGGCTTGTGCTGGGGCCAAAAACACTGCACTGACAAAATGACAGGAATTCAGAGCTAACTTACTTTTTTTTTTTTTTTATGTTTTGACAGTGTTGTTTAAACTTTGAACACTTGTGAGCTTTACAGCTTAAAAATGTTACAATAACCAATAATCAAGTTACAAATGTTACAATACAATAATCAAGTTGTGTAAAATACAAGTTTACAGGAAAGGATATCTTACACAACATATAATCAAATCTTTCTAAAATACCTCAACCATAACAACCATTGCCATATCTTTTTATAGTAGCTTATCTTTGTGCTTGGCTCTTCCTACTTATTATTTATTATTACCAAATATTTATTATAGAAGCTGTATGCATAAATATTTGTCCCTAAAACCAGACACCTATTGAAAATGTGTCTTTTAAGAAAAAGGTTCTGGAGACAACAAAAGGAAAAGTATTACAAGTCATATCCAACAGCAGGTGGCTTGATTGAATAAAATGGATCTAACTTAAAATTCTGGCACAGAGCTAAGCAGCAGCAAGCCTGCCAAAACTCAATCAAAAATAAAGGAATGCTTACATGTGCAAGACAAATATTACATGAAATAAAACCAAATTAAAAACTGGAAGAATAACTGATAAAACTGTTGGGTATTGGGAACAGATATGGTTTATTATTATTCAGTGTCATTTTAAATCAAATCAACTGGAGAGAGCAGTTTAGCAGCTAACACAGTGATAGAAGAAGCAGCAGTTACTGCTGGATTAGTTTTTATCTGTTAAGGGTGCCAACTACTAAAATTGTCACTAAACTAAAAGCAGGCTTAGCAACATTTGGGACAGTACCTTAGAGCCAAAGTGGAGACTCAGTCATTCAGGTTCACTTTCTGGTTCTGATCATATGCAAGGTTTTTCACATGAACAAAGAAAGCTTCAACAAACCAGATCAAAAGAACTTGCACCTCTAGCATCTTACAGTTCCAATATGCCAAAAATACCACAATATTGGATTAAATCTTTGCTGCTAATTGGGAAAGAGAGGATTTGAGCTCCAGATCCCTTGAGAATACTCTAACTAGTAGTTTGCAAGAACAATACCCAATTATTTTGACTTGGGTAAGGTGAAAACAAATTACAAATGCTTTAAATTCAGAAAATATTTAAATATGATCTTTAGTACGCTTTAATTTGTTTTCTTAATTTACCAAAAATTGCAAGAGTTTTGCTTTCAGGTTGAACTGACTAAAAAGACACAGTTGATATTGCCTGGGAGCACACTGCACATGAACAAACTTCTCACTCTGCTTCAGCACAGAATGCCTAAGTGTGCAGCTAGTGTCCCATCTTACCTTAACACTTTCTGACTGATGCAAGAAACTTTGACGGAAGTCAGAATATCAAATTCACACTAGTCTTTCTTTATATAAATAAAGTGAAAAACAAAAAAAAGCCTTAAGCTTAGAATGTGTTTTACAATGAAGAAAAACTTGGACAAATGTTTATTGTTGCTGTTATGATAACGCTTAAAGGTGCTATCACCATCAAGGAATTTAGAGGGGAAAAAAAATCTGTGATATAGGTGAATTTGATTCTTTGTTCCAGAGATCAGTCATTTTCAAGCAGAGAGGAGAAAACTTTGTGTGTTAATATAATATATTAACGTGAAGTTAACACTGTACACGTGCTTTATATGCCTATAACATGGATGCACAGATTTTGTGCCTCTGGAGAACAATGACTTTATATAGCCAGTTTGTTGGAGTAACAATCATTTCCTACCAAGAAATGATGCACCTGTCAGGATCAGCCTGGAAACTTCTTGCATAAACCTGTTCACTCTTGTTATCACAGCAGGGTGACTGTTAGAACAATGGATTCCTCCATTCTTCACATATGTCTCTTTTGACACTTGTCAGAAGAGCACATACTCTACCGCCAGGTCTGCAAGCATTGCAAGTACGATCTGGCACGAGGAATCTGGCAAGTTTCTCTACACAACCCATATTTCTGCACTCTCAAACTGCTTAGAGGCAACAGTGGAATGAAGAATAAAAGCTAACTATGACACAGTTACAGTTAAACAGACTGGCAGAAATGCCTCCTGTTATTAACTGATTTAAAGACTTGAGCATCTAAATAAATAACTATGGGGTTCAGATTATAAAATAAAATCATAATTTTGTATCTTTTTTCCCAGCTTTACAAATATTAGGAAGTGTAGCTTCCTAACACAGATAAGGAATGTAATCTGAATCCCTATTATACAGAAAAAGAAACAAAAAAAGGCTATTCATGCGACACAATGCAGCTATATGAAAAAGCAAGTGTTCTGACAAAATTTCCATATTAATGATAGAGACACTGTCTGTCTGAAAACATGACGACAAAATGTATGTCAAAAAAGAACCACCATCTTTATGGTATGCAATAATTACTGGCCTAAACAGGATTTCAGTCTTCCTTGTCTCCTACTGCCTCATACTCACACATATTACGTTTTATATCACCCTATTTAGCAGCGCATTTCTGTGAATACTGAATATTCTCACACTTTCTGCCACTGAACTAATTTTTTCATAAGTGGAACGCAAATCAACATTTCTAGTAAATGCTTACAATGATTTCATATCAAAAAATGAAACTGAAAGAAAAATAAACTTTGTTTTGAAATCTTTTCTTTTAATGAGCAGTAAACTCCACTCCAAATAAATATCAGATTGGATATTAGGAAAGCTTTCTTCATGGAAAGGGTTGTCAAGCCCTGGAAAAGGCTGCCCAGGGAAGTGGAGGGGTCATCATCCACAGAGATATTTAAATGATGTTTGTACATGTGGCACTTAGGGACATTGTTTAGTGGAGGACCTGCAGTGCTGCATGAGTGCTTGGACCTTATGATCTTAAAGGTCTTTTCCAACTGAAATTACTCTATCATTCTATGAAATAAACATACTTTCCTATAACAAATTCCATGTCCATCTACATTTATTTTCTTGCAAGTATAAACTGAAAGAGTATAAAGCTATGAGATGCATTATTTTTCAGGGCTCCTGTTTCAACTGTGGGGTTAAGCTACAGCTGCAGCTTTGGCATAGGAGTAGTTTTACATATTATATTAATACTTCTTTTAACACCTGAAAATATTTATCTTTTTCAAAGGACATTCATTAAAGTAACTCACCTTTTAGAAGACAAAAATAGCATGTGATTTATTAGTTTATGTTCTAATATGGACCAAATCATTCTGAGTATCATTTCTAACAACATTTATTGTGACAGGGAGACAGTTTACCTGAAAACTTAATACACCACTTAATACAAATAATATACTAACTGTGCTCCTATAATCTGGCATAGCACAAACACCAATACAGTGTCAGGCTAAACCATGTGCAGGCAATTTTCAACGATATTTATATCCTTGGTAATTTGGTTTCCTGAGCTTTAAAGCATTAGTTTAGTTCAGTTCCTGTTTCAGCTGAAAAAGCTCTGATATTAGTTTGTAAGGCATGTGATAAAAAACATGTGTTGAAGATACACAACTAGGCCAGGTTTAAAATGCATACAGTTGAAAACATTTGGTGTATAGGCAGAATCTTTCCATAAATTTTGTTTCTTGGTGGTCGTCTTGCTAGTGTAAAATGGGGAACTGGACTACTGATGAACTTCATGCCTTGCTATTTCATCAACACAGAACTGAAGTTTCTTCACAGACCAAGCTAGAGACACTGATAAATGCAGAAAACAACCTACCTTGTAACAAAGAGGGCAGTACCATGATGGCACATGCAAAAGATGAATGTTTCTGTTGTAGGAAAAAGCTTGCTGTTGTTATTTTACCTTATATTTACCACAGGTTTGTTATATATTTAGCATAGATATCTAAGTATTTATAAGTGAAATTGCAGCCCACAGACTAGCTGTTTTCCTTTGTTGAATTATTTCTCAGGAAAAAAAAAATAATATTTTGTCCTCAGTATTGTTAAATTCCTAGTAGCACATGTTACCCACTTTCCTAATGGATATGGTAAAACCTTTTCTGGCCAAGATATGAAACTCAGCTTTGAAACTGAAACAGAATGAAAAGATCACTTTCTTACTGAAGAGTGCATCTGTGATTTGTGAGTACATGCTTAAAATATTTACAAGTAACTCCTGCACTTCAAATACAGTAATCAGGTATACTACTCTTCTTCAAATTAAATCATAGAATCCTGTAAGTTGGAAGAGACCTTTAAGATCATCAAGTCCAACCATTAAGCCAACACTACTAAGTCCTCTGCTAAAACAGAATCAGAATCTGTCAGAATTGGAAGGGACCACAAGGATTTTAATGTAGATTTGCCTTCAAGAGGCAACAGAATCAAAGGATGCTTTTCTCTCATAGTGCACATGCCATCTCAATCAATCTGAACAAGAACAAATTTATTATTATGAGCTTGGACAAGCCTGATTTATACTCTCTCATATGTATTTATACAATGGCTTCTTGATACATGTACGCATACATGGTTTTGGAAATTCTAGGGCCAAGGATCACTTTCTGAAGCTCTTACACTCCTTTTAGTACTCTGAATTCAGAAAGCCACAAATGTATTACTCTACCGTGAGGTAGGTATGTGCTTAAAAATTCATTATTGATAGAATGCTGACAATAGAATATCTCTTTTGCAAAACAAAGTTGTTAAAAAACAAAATAGAACACAGCACTAAAAAAACATTAAGAGAGGCTGTAATATTCTATGCCACACGAACCTACTCAGGGAAGAAATGTAGATCAATCACCACATCAGACTGTAGGTATCATTCCTAGCTGAAACAAAATTTTCTCTAGTTAGTTATGTATTAAGTTCTCAAGGATACCTCCTCAATCAAATCAAACAACAAGGCAACCAATAAACAGAATTTAAAAAGACCTTTCAGAGAGTTTTTCAGCACTAATATGTACCTGTCAGTATGTACATCTGGCTTTAGAAGCATAGACTTGAGATACTCTCTTCTTGCAGGATTATTTGCCTTATCCACATGTATCACTGCAAAGCAAATTCAAATTAATATCGTTAGTTATCAACTGCTCTTTCTTCTAAACGATGAAAAACATGAAGAAAAAAGAAAAATAAACATTCTTTCCCTTGTCTTTCCTGAGGAAAAGTAACCATGTTAGAATCAAATTTGAAAGGCCATGTGATCTGATGGCATGTCACTGGCAGGTTTATGTGCACACTGTCAAAGAAGATACAAGCACCATCTAAGCATGCCACATAGCTGTCATTTTCTGTTAATGGCAATAGCAGTCATGACTTTAAAAGCCAGTGGTCTTTATTGCTTTGTATTTGAAGCGATTTACAGCATTTTCTTCCACTGAGGAAGCTAGTGATAATGATAATGTATGGCAGAGTGCTTGTCCTTTTTGACAGCCTCAGTAATTTAATCCTCCTTTCCTGCCACAGTATTTCAATAAAAAAAGCATCTAGACCAATGGACTGGACAAAATCCACAGCCTGGGGAGTGTGAGTGCTCTGAAAGCCTTTTATTCCTTTAATTTTAAAATAGGAACACAAAGACAAGCTTTTAATTTTTGTACCTTTAATATGACCTACAGTGAGCCTTGGCTTGGGAAAAAAAAACCCAAAACGATACAAGGAGGAGAAAAAGGGCTTTAGGAAGTTCTTTCAGAAGTTTTTTGTCATCTTATTGAAGAAACTAGATGCTTTCTTGAAAACAGTATCAACCTAGATGTATTAGTAAACTACTGTAAAAGATTACAAAAAAAATCAGGATGCAAAAACTGTAAGTCTTAAAGGAGTCCTTTTTTTTTAAAAATTAAGAAAGAAATGCAGCTAAAAAAATATGCTAAGACAGAACTAGAATGAGTATAATCCTCTGACAAACAAACAGCTCTTATTTTTAATTTATTTTTGAGGGCAGTAGGAGACAGGTTTGTCTGTCTTTCAACTCCAACATCTTTAGTGTTCACCCTCCTAGTTACCTCTGCTACTGTACTCGGAAAAGCTCTTTTTCACTCTCCATATCATGTTAAGTTTTTCTTTTCCTATGTGCTGACAGAAATCTTTAACATTTTTCATGTGGCCTTCTACTGTCCCAAATAAGCTTATTTGTATAAAATGAAATGACTAATACTACCAAGGAGCAGAGATTATTGGAATACAGGAGTATGAAAGAGAGATAAAGAGACTCAGATTAACTCCTTGAAGAGGAATTAATTGAGGGACGTATATCTCTAAAAGTCATTCTAGGCAGCACACCTTCCAGAGCTACTGGTTCTCCAGTTTTCTGCTTTTCACGTCTTAACTGGCCAGCAGAACAGCCGTTAAGAATCAGTTACTTTCAGAACACAGCCAGTACATTTGGGATCTCAATCATTTGATCAAAGGTATCTGCAGTTTAACACTTTTTTCCCTACTGAAAGAAAGCAAAGCACTGGTGCTCTAACTTGGAATCCTTAGTTTCCACCCACAATATTCTTACTTTGTTGGGTTTAAAGGAGCTGTTACTGCCATCTGCTATTCTTTTGGGCATGTGGACAACTTTCCACATGTGCTGCTCTCATGGCCAAGTGCTCCTGAGGCCACCACAGGAAGTGATGGGGAGGCAGCAGGGAGACAGATGGACAGCCAGAGAACTTCAAAAGAGCTGCCACATCAACAGATTCTTCCCTCTCCCATAAGCATTCCAAATGGAATTTCCTAAGTTTACTAATTTTGTATCTAAAACAATTTTAAATGGAAATTATTTATAAAGCTAAAGAATTTGAATTCATTTCACTCAATGGAAAAATTCATACTAACAAGTAAAACATTCAACACAAGAACTTTGTTCAAGTCTGGGGAAAACGATTAGCCATATTGAAAAAATATTTTTAGGTTCTGATGAACAACATGCTTTCCTATCACCCCTTAGGACTGCCTGAACTTAGAAGTCTAGCATTGCTCAAAGGCATGGAACATCTCATATTTCTATCCAATTAACTTGAAAAATAATTCAAAATTAACTTGTGACAGTTTGCATATAAAATGATAATTTAAAATTTTCTCCCAAAGAAGCAGTAAAACCTGAAGATTACAATGACCCCGGAACCTCATTAAAAATCACTGCAATCAATTCCAAACATTGACATAGCTGTTTCTGCCCTAGCTTTTTTTTTTTTTTCCTCTCTCCTCAGTTCACTTTCTAACACAACTAAGTGACTATGTGATGAAACAGTTTCATCACAATGATGAAGAGAAAATGTCTCAGTGTTGAGCTTTAACAGAGGAAAGGAACAAATGAAGGACAACAATGTTTTCTGATACAAGGCTTTAACGCTTTTGTTTGAGTTATATTGAGCAATCCACCTTTCAGAATACAGATCTTCAGAAGTTCATTTTTAATAAAAAATAAACCCCATCATCTTTCCTCCACTTCCTCTTAATTTGATTTACTTACAGTCATACTTCAAGTTGTTCAAATAACCACCTGTTCACTTGAGGGAGAAAGCTTTCTAATTAAATGTCATATAAACTTAGCAAATTTTATAAATCTTTCTTCTATTTCTGCTGCCTGTTTTCCATAACCACTGTATACCACTCATAAGGATATATTTCAGACCTTCTATCAATCTTATTTTCCAGTAACTTTCTTACCATCTTAAAATTTTCATAGTTGTCTTCATACTTAGTAAAATATGAATGCTTTTTGTCACAACATGTACGAACCTTAGCTTTGTAACTTAAGTAATTGTGGCTTTGACTAGGAAAATGTTTACTTTACTGAAATTAAGGGTAAAATATCAATAGATGGATTTATATGTGAGGGAGACTGGACTTTGTTTGCTTGGAGCAACATATTATGCTATATTTTTTTGATAGTGAAACTGACATTATGTTCACTTTAAAGTATATCTTGTGACATGACTGGAATTGAATAATTTCTGGCATGCAATTTAAAACTGCATTAAAAAGCTAAAATAATTCATTACCCACTGTGATTGGTAACACACCCTAACATCAAAACCAAACCACCCCAAAACAAAGACCATCAAAAAATCAGACTCCTTCCTTGTATCAAATTGCAGGACAGAGTCAAGGTGTGAGCAGAATTTGGCAAGTTCGACTTTTTGAATTTATGGGACTGCAGTGCTCCAGTTTGGAACCATTTTTGTATATTCTAAAAACTCTTTCCACCACTAAGGAATACAGCAGTTCCTCTCCTCAGTCAGTATGGCCATCGGTACACGTAACATTTAATGTCATGGGAAGTCAAGAATTATGATGCAGTATAACCCTAGAGCGTATAAACCTCCCATGCAAGTTTTTGTTCCAAGACCTTGGAAGAAAGAAAATGGATCTTCTAATAATTCCTAGTCAAAAAATTATAGTCAAAATTAGAGATTTATGTCATTACATGCTCTAACCAATTGTGAAAAAGGAAATTCATAGGACTTAGTATGTCCAGATCAATGGAGTTCTACTGTATTTTTTTTTCAATCTTCTGATACCTTACATGTCAAGCAATGACAGTGAAGCGTGTGTGAAAGGTATGGAAAAATTTCAAATGTTTTTCATGCAATGAATCTCATGGAGCCTTCTGTATCAGTTAGGATATTTTTAAAACAGTCAAGCTGTTTTGAGTTATAAATACCATAAAATGTTTTATTAGTAAGAATTAATCATGTTTTAGATTACTTACGGACTTACCCTGATTTTCTCTGTGCAAATATCTACAAGACTATTAGTTTCCTTCTAAGCTCAAAGTAAATGTCTTTCTAACAATGCAAATCTCGTTTTTATTAAAGAAAATATTCAATTAACCTCAAATATTCAACATACTCAAATCTAATTAGACATGAATAAGAGATGCAGTAAAGGTATAGTAAACACACATGCAGATTTCATTACTATTATCTTACTGCCTTTCCAACTGAAATTATCAAAAAGCAGACTCATTAGGGTTTTTCATCCCCTATATGCAAAGCTAAACTTGAGTAGAAATTAGATGAACAATTATCTAAGCAAAACTCTTCAAATAACAACCACATTAGTGTTATGCTGCAGAACAGAGTCTTGGAGCAGTAAGAGCAAAACCACCTTTTGAGAATGATACACTGGGATATTTTGAACAGTTTTACATTCAGCAGCAAACAGAAAAGTCAAAGTTCTGAAAGCCAGCTTTTGACCATCAGAAATGTGACACAGCAGTACCAGATTGGAAAGCCTTATGAATTACAGTCTCTAGGAAGTCCGATATAATTTTTAAGTATCACTGCTTGAAATCTATTTAAATTTCACAATTGTCTTAAGAATCAGAAATTCCATTCTGTAGTCATCATAACGTTGTTGCATTTTGCTAGTTTAACTTTGCTGAGTCAATACTTAAGACTAATACTGTACTTAGATCATACTCAATTGACTCACGAATCAGAATATTGTGTAAGAATTTTTATACCGTCTGAAAGCTTCTTATATTCAAAGCAATGAGAATTCAAAAAAAACCAAGATAAATTAAAAGTGTTAAATGGCTTTTATGAGCTTTATGGTATTATTTAAATGAGATTTTTAAAAATTTATTTTCATTATGTCTGCCTAACTAGAACACTTGGAAAAGTGTTTACAATAGCTAGCAAGATGAATATTTTCAACTCATAAAAAGTGTTCTTACTTATCTGGTGGCTCATTTAGTACATGATGCCAGATATCTCAATTGTTTGATTGGAAGTAAGCTCAGTGAATGGAAGATTCTGCAGTGCTATTAGTTTTTGTAGTTTTGCTCTTTTGTCCTAAAGCCTGATATAGATTACTGTCTTTCTCAGATCACAGAAGTTAATGCACTGTGTCCTGTCCTCTGTAGTCTTTCTCAAATGGGGAGTCCCATTATATTGATGACTGATGTGCCATCTATGAGGGATTTCAGTCCTCAACTCTGGGGAAATCCAATACTTATGAGTACTAGAAAGATATAAATGAGTAAATTCTTTAGCCAGTCTCCTTTTAAAATCAAGTTTCTAGATGGCAGCAATTTTCAAGATCTGACTGTGACATCTCTTTTGCAAAGCCACTTTCACAAAATTATTGTTAAAAAAATGCTTAATTTGAATATCTATACTAATGGCGTGTCACAAATCGAAAACTGATGCACCTGCTCCAGGATATTCTCGGCTAAAAATGCAATACTGAAAGTCCAAGACAGCATGAAGCACTCAGACTGAATCTTAAATTATATAGACCTTCACAGGAAAAAAAAAAGGTTAGTGAATAATTGAAATACTATGAAATAGCTGGGAATATAATTAACAAGAGAATTATCAATTATTACAATAGTTCTGCATATGCTATTAGTGTAAATTACATCGTATAAAGTATTTTCCAATGTTTATTTATTAGAGAATAGCATAAGGAACATGTGGGATTAAATATTATGAAGTAAATAGCAATGTATTAATATTAAACATGGGTGAATAATTCCCTATTTCAAAAAGTTTAGTAATGGAACACTGAATGTTCTCAAGCAACAATCACGTCCAATTACATATTTTCTCTTTTAAACTGTTTTAGTTGTACATGGTTAAATGGAATGGTTTTGGTTTTTTTTGCCTTGTATCATCATGTACTGATAGAAAACTTGGCTCATCACATTCTTTTAAAAGAAATACATACATTTTAGTTACGTAGAGCCTAATTTTAAAATTTAGGCACTAGCAGCACAGCTATTTATAATGCAATGTTACCATACCTAAGCCTATTTTAATAAGTTGTTTTATACTTGGTAATTGCATCATTACCTCACTTCTTGAAAAACACATTTAATATTTCCCAAAATATTTGGGAAAAAGACAAATACAATCAGCACACAGATAATATAACTATAAAGTATAGAACAAGTAGGCTTTATTAGCAGGCAGTTTCATGGGGCACAATTCAAGAGAGGAAACAAGCCTGCTCAGGAATACATCACCATACTTACCACTGCTATAGTTATAGTGAATCCTCTGACCACTTGTTGGTTTTGGAAGTGACAGTGGGGTCTCCTCTGCAAGGAAATTGTATAATCTGCATTCTACAAACAGCTGCTGTATTGTTTCATCTGATGCAATTCGTGACTCAGTAAGAGTGAGTGATATAATTTCAATCCGGATTTTTTCAGTTGCCTATTTAAAAAAAACCAAATTATTTTGTGTTTCTTGAAATGTTAAAATAAACTAACATACAGGTAAATAATTGGCTATTTTGCATCATTAACACTGACTGATTTTGACATTAACACAATGAGATTCTAAAGCCCCAGGGTTTGTAGTTAAGAATATTGTTGCAACAGATACTGATTTACATTCAGTATGGAAAATGTTTTTGTAATAGTCATACCCTACTGGAGAAGCTGAGGTTAAGGGTATCTTCATGTAAAAATGGTATCTGAACCACAAATTTCAGTTGCCATTATTTTTAGCTACATAGCAAAGTGATTTGTATCTTGATTCTGTAATTGCTTGATATAGTCTCAGTAAAATTAGATACCACAGTTTTCCAAGTGAGAGAATTGTTACTCAGTGCCTACTGCAGACTGTACTACAAATAATTCAGTCAAAATCTATCAAGTCACAAAGCAGATAGGCATGTAAAGTAACACTCTATTTATACGGATTTCAACTTAATATACTGAACTTCCACAGTTAAAACAAACATACATTTAAAAGTTAAAATTAACAATATGATAACGACAGTAATATCCCAGATCCTTTTCTTATTATCTTTAACTAAAACAATATTCTTCTGTTACTTATAAGAAATTGTTTCATGCTGTTCAGAAAAGTTTATATCATTTGTGTACAGATAAATTTTAATAAGCTTTAAGTAGGAATGTCAGGCTCAACAGAAAGTCATAAATATTTCCATAGGTAACTGTAATTCAAACAAAGAAAAGCCACTATCATTTCAAAATTGGAGTACAAAGCTGAGCATTCAAAGATGAGATTCTTCAATGAGCGAACAGAACATACTGGAGTTGAGGAATATCAAAAAAATATTTTCACTTCTTTTCAAGCTCATAACTTAATTAAAAATATTTCCCCTATATGGAAATATAGACAATTATTGATTGTAAACTTGAAATATCAAAAATATTAGCTTTCTAGATTCAGCGTTAGAACTGCAAATCAACATTCATATTTATTATGGAGATAATTTATGTTTTTTCCAAGTGAGTTATATAGTTAACCCAACTGAAAAGCAGGTGAATCTTATTGTAAAAATATCCATCATATGGAACAATTTCCATTGCTGTCACACCCTTTCAATATTTGATGAAGCAATTTTACCCCCTCCTTCCAAAAGACATTTCCTTTTATTATGTATCCTAAGACACTAACTAAAAACCCAAATCTGAATATTTCAATAAGGTTGTTTTATTATTCAGTAGATTCATGGAAATTTTACTAGGATGACAGAGAAAATTCCACACCATTCTGTCTCCACTAATACAGGTACACGGCTTCAGCTGGCAATATTACTAGGATTAGCATAGAATGATGAAATATTTAAAGGAATTTTTTTTTTTTTCTAAAATCTAATAAATCAAATGACTGCCAAATGTCATTAAAGTGATGGTCTTTGACTTGAATATGCTTTTCATATTCAAATTTGAAAAGAAAGAGATGAAAGCCTGGAAAGGTTACTCAGTTTCAACTAATAACCTCAAGCACTCTACATTCACATGCATAAGAAATGAAATTGGCTCTATTGTCTAATTTTACTTCAGAAACAACTCTTTTCTTCTTGCACTGAACAGATGAATTAGCATCTGTATTTAAAGTGATATGCTGAGTGGTTTTGTTTGCCCCAAAGTATTTAGCAGCTATGCCAGACTAGTTTGTACACAGACAGTAGTTTATGAATCAAATCCAAATGCAATATCCTGTATTATAAAGTATTCCTTTTACATATCTTAAAATTTGTTTGACATATTTAACACTTGTAATTTCATTCTGTAGGCAAAGAATATTACAGTTTCTCAAGGACAGACATTTAAATCCAGGTATGCTGCTTTCTAACTTATAAGGAAGCAAATAAACGAGTCATACTATTAGAAAATTATAAGAAAGTAATAAATAACTTCAAAGCTTAACAGTCAAGAATATTTTAACGCCTGATTTTATTACTATTAACCATGAGCAAAGCATCAACGAAGGAGAACAACAGCTGAGTAAAAAAGATATTTACAAATAAAGAAATAGAACTGCTTATGATCAGCATAGTGAGCATGTCATATTTCACTAATAATAGAAAAAAGCTCGTATTCAGTAGCCATGCTGAAAATGTATGTAGCATCCAATATGATAGGAATTTATTTTTTAAAAGAATCATTTATATTCCTAAGATGCAGAGTGAAGTATGTTATTTAAATCTTTTCCTAAGCTTTTTTTTTTTTTAAGCCTTTTTCTCCTTTATTAGGTACTATTTCAGTGAAAAATGGATAGTTTGCCATGACCAATTACTTCCCACAAATCCTTCTACTTTAACAGGAAGAAGATTTCTCTTTTTACTATTTAAAACAAAATATAATATTCAATTTCCTCTAACAGAGAGGTTGAACACGTATTAAAGAATACCAAATGCTTTCTGTTTCTGAGAAACTCATTCAGTGCTTTTGTGAGGAAAACAAAACATGGGCAACACACTTAAATACATCAATATTATTTCTTTACCATTTAATATTGACTCTTCGCAAATAACACTACCCAGAGATTTGGAAGAATTACTGAACTCCTTTAACAAGCGTCAGGATTAGGTTAAGTACTAAAAGGTATCACATCAGAATTTGAAGTCTGAACATAACTTCTCATTTTTCTTATTTCTGACATTGAAAAAGCTTTTTTTAAAGGCCATAAAAAGTCCTGAGTACCACCTTCAAAAAGCTGTATACTCCCATATTTTGATTTCCTTTTTAATCACAATAAAATACTAAAACTGCTTTGAATAATGTAATTCCAATTGACTTAAATTGTTCACAATACAAAACAAAACACAGAACGAAAGATTTTAAGAAAAGTATTGAACACTCAAAAATGAACTAGATGTACGCCAAAGGTACTCAAATCCTGCAGAAAATCAATGTGAAGAGAAATCAAAAAAGCAAAATTTAAAATTGCAATAAAACATCCTAGCAATTTTCTTTTTTTTTTTTTTTTTTGCAATGAATGCAGGTATCTCAAAGGAAGAAATACTTATTCAAGTAATTGTACAAAAAAGGCATAATAGAAGAAAAAATATTTACTGCTTTGCTGTAGCTAAACTTTATGCTTTATATCTTCCATCACTGCACAAATATGTTTCTTTGACCAGCAGAACCACAAGCAATTGGTATTGCTTTTTCATCGTGTTTAGGAGAGGTTTTCATGTCAAAATTAATTAGTCCCTGAGATCTTAATTTACAGGAACTGATAATGACAGCTTTCAATAAAGTGCTATTACCACAAGACAACGCACTCACAGTATTGACAACAAAAAAGAGAGACATAAACACATCTATAGAAAAAAACTCGCCAGACAATAAATTGGTTTTGCCAGTAATTGCCTTATGGCACCTTTCAAGACAACTCTGGAATCTGACAACAGTAAATTTTATTGTGATAATTGAATACTATATTATCTCCTGTAAGGATAAAGTGTAGACATGGGGGTGAAATGGAGAAGGGAATAGGAGAGAAAAGATTTTTTTTTTTAAATATAAAGACCATGCCAAAAAATATGCAAATTCCTAGTTTTGATGTCTATTTTGAGGATCTGAAACAAGGCTTTTAATCAATGTATTATACATCAAATTGATAATGTTAACTTCTGATTATTCAAATGTATGAAATATTCATAGAGAACTGTCCAAACTTCTACATTTCTCAGACTTCTTTTCTCTATTAATTATCATGCCTGGAAGCTTTTTAGTAAAAGCAGCAGCCATCAGCCTGACTGAACCTGACAAGCTAGCAAGGCCCAATTACACTGGCACTCTGTGGCACTTTGATGTACTGGAAACGAAAAGAGATAGGGGCAAATTGTATAGCACATTATGTTAATGACTTGATTTAATCCAGCCACTAAACTTTATGTAGCCTGTTAAAAAAGATGCTAACACTAATTACGCCACTTTGGAAAGGAAAGAAGGGGACAAGCATTTCATACCGACAAAGTGAAGCTCATAAATGTTGTAAATGAAATGAAACAAAATGAAGTAATCTATGATTAATTATACATCACAGACAAGAAGAGAAAGAAGCAAGTGGTACAGCTAAGTACTGGAAAATCTGTTAGATACCCTTTATGATCAATGTATCCAAGAAATAACCATGAACTGTCTAATTTGCAACATGCAAAAAAGAAACAGTATGACCTTAAATGGCTTAAACAGTTTGGCATACAACTCAGATTTATAGGATAATTAGCATCATAATGATCTCTAAAAATCACAAGTCTTATTTACAGTGTTTAATTACCAGCAGGATATTTATCTCAAAAGATAAAAGGCAGTGATTTTTAATCTTAAAGAAAAAAAATACAAATTCTATCACAATTTTCACATGCTGTATTATATAATTAGCCCAAGATGTCAAATATACCAATGTCTACTTTTAAAATCCAATTTGTATCAAACACATGGCCTGAACAGTTTATAGCTTTTATTTTCCTATCTACCCTTCTTGGAAAGGCGGTTTGCTACCAGAGGAGGAGATGAATGAAGAGAGGTAGAAATTAATGAACTAGTAATGAATCTACACTGAAAATCACCTCAGAATTTTTCTTAACTTTGAAAAACTAAAACACAGGAAGACTAGAAACTTAAAGAGCCACTGTATTATAGTTGGTCTTAATGGTGATGAATAACAGTCAGTTTACTTCTCAAAATTACAGGTGATCATTTTTTAATATTTTACATACAAACAATCCAAATCTGTCTTCAAAAGTACCTTCTATATCTTTCCATGGTGTACATCAGTTCTAGGATTTCTAAATCCTTTATACAACCTAAAATAAAATCAATATTTCTCATGTAAAGCATTGCTTCTTGCCGCTAGTTGCTTTGTAATATGTTACACACCCTTGAAAATAAATTTTTAAAAAGGATTAAACCACCTCTGCATTATCACATTGCAGAACATTTAAGACTGATGGGATATAAAAGTAAACCTCTGGTCCTTTAAAAGAAGGTTGAAATGGACCAGAGAAACATTAACTGTTAGAAGGATTATACCCAATTTTAAGTGCTAGTTTTATTGGTTTTTTAAGTTTGTTTAGTCAACATTAAATCTAAAAGTAGCAAATACTCTTTTTTTTAGAGAACTATACTACTGAAATACTGCTTTAAGTAAACTTTCCAAATATTTATTAGAGTGCTATTTTGTATATACGACTTTATGCTCATGTATTGCTGGTTGTAAGAATGAGAAATGCTGTTAAGACTTGGTTTCAAGTCAAGAGAATATCATTACTGCGCACAAATAAAAACAGAAGTACACTGAAGCTATCAGATACTGCACATGTACAAACTTTATTGAAAACCAATGCTCAGTCCTAAAACTGTTGGAAAGTCAGGAACAAGAAGTAATCGATGTGTATCAACTACAAAATATATGCAGGCTTTGCATGTTATCAAGTTTATGTAATTACCTTCTCAACAATGTTCAATCAAATCAACATACTGGGATGAAACAGCGGGTAGCTAAGCATTGTAGATTTACTACAGGCCTTGACAAGTGAAATTATCCTCCCTTTTCTCAGAAAGCAATAAAGAAGCAGAAAAGCGCATTTTCCTCCATAAAGGCAACAGTTAGAACTGAACAAGACTGAGTGTTTTTTGACATTCACTTACAATAGTTATCTTGTTAGGGAGATTTTCTGCAGGACTAAAATTTGAATCCAGATTGAAGCTAATTAGAAATCTCTGTTTCTAAGTGTGTATGATAATAATGGAGAAGATGGCAACTAATTTCCTCATAAAAAAAAAGTGCCCTAATTATAAATCACATGCACAATATGGTCAGGTAAAGTTTTCCTGGCTTTTTTTTTTTTCTGTGAAAATGTGTCTATTTGAACAAGAAACAGGGAAACATACTTATTGATTACCCTTTAGAGTTTGACCTTTAGACATAGCAAAGCTACTCTTAGAGGACATTAGGCTTAGAATACTTTTTTAGACTTACCAAATAATTGCCATAAATACTTTCACTCACCTTTTTAATATGCTTGGACAGAGGACTTGAAACTATACAGTCATCGCTGTCAGTTATTACTGATTCAATGGCATCATTTTCTTGTCTATCATCTTGATCTGAAAAAAAAAAAAAAAAAAATCCATGTAGTTAAACCCCCCTGTATTTGTAGTCCATTTGAGACTTGCTGAGAAACCTGATAGCAATATATTTGCTCTTCTAATAAATAAAGTGTGTCAGGTAAATCTTCTCTTCCTTGCAGAAGATTAACACTGGCAAATCAATGACCTCTAAAGTCATCCAAACTGTATTTTTTTTTTTTTTTAAAAAAAGTAATGTTTCCCAGATGAAAGTTGATGAGTGGAATGATATAAGTCCTGTGATGAACTGAAGTATGAAGAAAAGTTAGCTTTATATAAGAATCTATTTTGCCTGAATTTGTGGATTTCCTCTGACTGTTTAACACCATGCACATGTAAAGAAGAATGAACTTTTTTTTAACTTAGTTCTGTATGCAGGTGGATTATTTTCTAAAGCAGTCAGGTCTTTTTTCCTCTGGAGCAAATGACTTATAAACACAGAAGAGATTCAACACAACATTTTCCTAGTTTTTCTAATGAAATCTTTGGAGAAGCTGCGAACAACTGAATGTAACATTTTAGCATCCTGCTTGTGCTTTTACTTTACACTTGGTATTGTGGACTTGGTTTATTTCAATGATAAACACGTTAAACATGGAGGAGGAACAGAATGACCCAGCTTTTATAATCTTTAAATAAATCTGTCTCTAACAACTTTATGTCACAGATGTGATAGGACAGAGTATAGTACCCCCTCTCACTCTCTGAAAGGATTTCAATATCAGCATTGGCTGTTATCTGCAGACAAAAGCAGCATATTCATTAAAACAGTCTTTAGAATGGCATAGTTCTAACGGAGAATATAAAGACATTGAAAATAGAAGCCAGGTTTCCTTTAATATTTTATGAATCTAGGTCAGATACCAGATTTTTGCATTCAATTACAATACAGTTTCCATTTGGGAAGAAAATAACACCACCATATCCACCACTGAGCTTCAGCTATAAAGTACAGCAGAATATCATTTCTGTCATGAAGCTGCTCATAATGAGGCAGCTCCCACTGCTTGTAAGAAATGCTTAAGAAAAATCGCAAGAGACGTAGATTTGTTACGAAAATACAGTTACTTATTCATAAAATGCATTCTACCTTCTCGTTCCCATTCTTCAGTTATTTCTGTCTCATCTCCAGAGGTAACTAAGCTTTGGTCAGCCAGCTGCCCCTCTGACAGATGTGAGGCGTCTTCTTTTTCCTCCTGAGCTTCTTCAGCCATCTTCACCACCTTATCATCTGCTTGCCTTTCTTGTTTAACCTCATGTACCACACTCTATACAGAAAATAGACAAGCTTACAGTCTTTGTCACACTCCTTGAGCAGAAGTTACTGAAGTTCAAAACTTGATGAGTTATGGCTCTCATTCATTATACATAGCCTTTAAACAACTGTATGCAGTGAAAGAAACAATGAGAAGCTGTCAAATACAGTAACAAATAATTGATACAGTAGAAAGACAACTCTCTAACGATGTTAATTTCTGAAAACATAACTATTATAATAATTTGGTATCTGTAAACATATATACAGCCTGTTAGGTTTCCACATTCATTTATATTTCAGCTCTTCTAGTTCTACAAGACTCAAAAAGCCAAACAACCCACCACCAGGTTACTCAGTTGGCAATTTTGTAATGCAAATTATACAATATTTTCTGTTTCAAAAGCAAACTAAACTAATATAAAATAGAGTCAGCTTTGCTACAAAATACAAACATACTATCTATGGTAAAGTATCTTTAGTGCATAACTTACTCTGAAGTAATTTTATTCCTTTCTTTCTCTTTCAGTATAATTACATAGACTAATACACCATCAACAAATACAGTAATACAGAGATAGAACCTTCCATAGAGATCTGCTGGAGACCTATGTATTATTTATTATGCAACAATTCTCCTCTAGGACTGAATTTTCCATGGAGACACTGATGCCTCACCTCCCACTCTCAGAATCCACACGATAACTTTCAGATGTCCACAGAATATCCAGGTTTTCCAAACCTGGACCTGAAGGGTCATTTCTACTCTAACACATTTGGAGCCACACAAATCAAAGCAATGTTAACAACCACTTAAAAGTCTTATTCTATAAATGAAGGTTGTTCTTCTTAAATAAAGGTTATCCTTTCAAGTCACAGAAAACAGACTTTATGTCTCTTATGCTCCTCCTTGGCATAGATGATATGTCATAGCCACTGTGTCCTAGACAATGCTTGGTCTTTCTTTACTTGGCCAACACCACCTGATGTGGTGGAAGGGAGACTTCTTAAAGTCCCAGATGAGCTTAAAAGTAGAAAAGTGAAAGCAAGATAAAAGCCAGTAATTAAATCTTGTCTTACACCACTAAACAACATAGTTTGCCAATCTGCCACAACTTACTTTCACAAGCAATTGGACCATTGAAAGCTAAAAAATGTCATAATTTTCTTTTCCTTGGAAGGCTACATACTTAGCAATATTCCAAAGTTACTCCATTTCTTCTTCATTTCCCCCTGCTATATAATGGTAATTTTTAGAAGGAAGATAAAACAAAATGTCATTCAAACAGAGAAGGAAACAAGTAGAGATATTCCTCCTTTTCTAGTGGCCAAAAAAAAGATTATCATCACAAGGAATCACTTTTTTGATATTTCAGAGAAGTTTGTGAGAAGTTTGTTTGAGTTTTGATGCAGGATTCTGGAGAAATAACATACACACGGAATTCAAATGCACTATTTTATATAAACCCACAAAACCTGAATCATCTCATATCTCTGAAATGCTTGGAACTCTTGAAGCCTTCATTTTCTGTGAAAGTTACGTATTATTTTCAACAACAGAGTCCTAAGTTACATGTAAAATAAGGGGAAGTCTTTAATATATAGCATACAACACACAAAAGTAGGTTTAAGTTTACTGGTGGAGAAGCATTTGGGCAGGAAATGAATGTCCTCCTTTGCTTCCCTGCATTTGTGCTACTGCTTCTATCCTCTGCTATAGCTTCTACCTAAGAGGCTGGACAATTCTTACAAATGGTTTGGGTGAGTTACACCATTCATCCCCGTTTAGTAAGTCTCCTTTTCCAAAAAGTACTACTTGCTTTAGCATATGCCACATAAATATCCAACAACTAGATTTTCTGCTACTTGGAAAATGAACAAGAAAATAAAACAGACTGTTCCTGTACAGTTTTTATCTGTTGAATTTCTAATTCGCTTGCGTGGACCCTCTCTTGACACTTCACTGCATGATTTACATGTCAGAGAAGCCCCAGCTGTTTCATTATTTAGTTCTAACAGTACTTTTGTCTTTAACTAGATAGTGAGACTTTTATTTTTAAAACAGCTAAAAGAGTTGCCCACACAGTAACGAAGACTTCTGATGGAGAGGGAGAAGCTGTCTCCCTCAAACTCCTGGTTTGTGTAAGAGTGTTGAACTTTTGAGAAGTTACTCTTTGGACAGCTGAAGATACGTTGCATGTGTAACTATATGGCTCACATGTCGCTTTTCTGTTTCTAACTTATCAAAAGATTTGATTTCATCAACACTTGACTCTTTTTTCTTTTCAAGTTAATAAATATATCAACATAATTCTTACTCCAATTTGTACTGTATGGCTCAAAACAAAGTTCTAGTCATGGCAAATGAAAGTGAAGCAGAGGAACTTGTGAATCGAAAACTGAGGTTAATATTTAAAAAAATAAAATCCCATTGAGGTATTTACAAATGGAAAAAAAAAAAACCATCACAGGTAGTTTCAAATTAATGCAACATAAAATACTTAAAACTTACTGCCATCTGTATTGTACTAAGATCCTGAAAAGACACTTTCTTCTCTACTGGAGCTGCGTGCTGCCTTGGTTTGGGTGTTGGTTTCTGTAATAAAACAAATACAGTTTTGCAATGTAAGTTGCAAAAACTCAGAATGCACTGTGAGTTCCAGGTGAGGAATAACTGTAGGACTTAAGTCAGTGGTATCACACATGTGGCAGAACTATTTATTATCATTTATGCAGTGCTTGATTTCTTCTCCTGTCCTGTAGGCTCACCATATCTTTGAAAACCTTTACTCATGCCACTCCCTTTGGAGCACTTTAACACAGAAACAAAAAAGAGACTGGCAAAGGTTGCAAAATTAACAAAATGATCCGGAAATATTTCTGTCATTAACTTGTAAAACAAAATGCAAAAATAGTTAAATAAGAAGTGGCTTATCACTCTTTATTATTTACTCTCTTGATGGAGGTAGAAATTATCCTCCATATTCACTAGTTTTTATACACAAAAATTTTAAACAAGATATTTGGTATGCCAGCACCATCCTCCTAAGATGAGAATAACAGAGTTTGGTGCAGACGCACCTACATATTTGTGTACACATGGCTTGGGTCTGGCTGCTTGAGAATTCTTTTGGCTCAAAGTTCTGTCTCTGTTTCTGAGAAATCACCAAAACAATAGCTGATTTCATTACTGGCTTCAATTTCAAGTGTAGATGTGTACTTGCACAAGCATGTGACTACATTGTAATTTAGAACATCTTCATTAGAGAGAGAATCAATAGGCACTGAATTTATAGGGAAGACATTGAACGCTTACTATTTCTCCTCCCTTTTCTCCCTGCCCTTTGCTAACCATTTATCTATCATTATATTAAAAGTTCTAGACACATGAAAGATTTCAATTCCCCAAGGAAGTAAAAGATGGTGGCCATAGGAAGTATTTGCACTATGCATTATTCTACAGGAAGGATAAATCCTGTTAACCAGGGAAGAACTAAATAACCTGCCATAATAGGTCTTTTGTATCTCTTAACTCTTGTGAGTTTGTTCAATTACTTACTGTCACTGATGAAGGTAAAGAACGAGACAGGGCTAGAGTCTGTGTTTTTTCCTTTGCTTGTAATTTTGTTTCCATTGATTTCTCATTTTCAATGTAATTCACTAAGTCTGAAGCTATTGCTGATCCACTTGGTGGTAGGTAGACAAACTTCCATTTTAATTCAGCTGTGATGGTACCACTAGCATGTTTTTCAGAATCTATTAGTTCAAAAGTACCTGAAAGCAAAATGCAAATTTGGTTTGAATTATTTTATTCTATACATATAGCAGAAAATCCAATGCAAGCCTGAACTGGATTCAGGATTTAAGTTAATAGCACTCATTTTAGAAGTTAAATAACATCAAAATATTTTGTTTGGTAGATTGAAATATACACAATATAGCACTGTGGACATTCAGAAAGACAGGATTTAGAAGGGACTGGATTACTGTGTTTGTTCAAGATGTCCTGTAGGTTTCTCAGATAATCCAATGCCAGATAACTAATTTTTATTGACATCTTTCAAAAGATCTAACTAAAATATTTCCATGTTTTACTAACTCTAACTTTTGATAAAGAAAATAGAAGAGGTTTAAAAGCCTCTGAGTTCCCAAATCATTATCAAAGATGAAGAACCCTGAATTCACTTGCAAATTTTCTAGTACACATTTATATAGGATAACTGCAGAATCATATTTTAAAATTTCCCTGAATGTCTAATAGTTGTTAATGAAATAATCATTAAGGAGTTTTTATATTTTAAACACCACAGAAAATGTATAACTGATATCAACTCGCTGGGAGCAGTGGATGCACTGAAGTCAGGGCTGCCATTCAACACAGTACAAAAATAGGCTGATAAAAACCTCATGAAGTTCACCACAAGCAAATGCCAAGCCCTGCACTGGCCCAGGAATATCCCCAAGTAGCAGTATAGGCTGGAGTTTGACTGGGCACAATGCAGCCTTACAGAAAAAGGGCTGGTCCTGTTTGACAAAAATAGTAGAAGCCAGTGAAGCTGCATTTTTGCTGCCAAGAGTGCCAGCTGCACCCTGGGCTGTATTGTCAAGAATGTCTCAAGAAGGTCCAGGGAAATTTCATCCTTTCTCTGTTTGACACCTGTGAGATGGCATCTGGAATGCTGTGTCCAGTTTTGGCCTTCCCAGCACAAGTAAAAACACCAACACTGGAGCAGTGGAGGGCCACTGTAGGGCATTGAAACACATAACATAGAAAAGTCTGAAAGAAGGGATTTGTTCAGCCTTTTGAAGAGGAAGCTCAGAGGGGACCTTATTGCCATCTAATACGAGGAAAACAGAAAAGAAGGAACCAGAGATGCACAGCAGAAGGAGTATATTTTTGATACAAGCCAGGATGCTGTTGGCCTTCTTGCCCAGCTGGGCACATTCCTGGCTCATATTCAACCAAATGTCAACCAACACCTCCAGGTCCGTTCCCACCAAGCAACTTTCTAGCCACTCTTGCCCAAGCCTGTTGCATTGCAGGGGGTTGTTCTAACCCAGACACAGGACCTGGCATTTGCCCTTGTTGAATCTCATACAACCAACCATGGGCCATTGATCCAGCCTGTCCAAGTCTCTCTGAAGAGCCTTTCTTTAGTTGAGAGATTTAAAGAGAAAAAAACGGAACTAAAGATTTTGTTAAGTTTAAAGAGGTCCAGTTCTTACCTGATATAGGTCTGTCACGTGCTAAAGATATAAGAGGCACATTGGCTTTCACTACATAAACACCTTCTTCCATTTCACCATCATCAAATACATAAAAGGTTAAGGATTCTGATCTTAGATATCGGTCTAAATCTGCATTCATTGGCACTTTGAAACACATATGGTCATCTATTTGTGGGTTGTTGTTGCTAGGAATGATGGGAGTATCATGGTCTGGAAAATCAAAGAACTTGTAGATAACATAAGGATTTGGCTGAAGATGTTTTTTTCGGGATTGTAGATTGTTACAACATTTTATTGTAATGTGGAGTTCATTTAAATTGCCATCTGTAGAAGTGCTGACTTGGGCAGTTCTGAGTATCTGTTGCTATAAATGAAAAAGAAGTTAAATTAAAAACATTAGAATTCTTATGTTGGTGAACTCTAAGAACTATATAAATAGAACAAAGAACTGATTATTTCAATGACACTCCAACTTGATTTTCTATGTCAAAATATTATTTGTTCTATAAACTCAACAACTTCTCTCTCAGATTGTCGGTATGAGGAAACAAAAGGTTAATCCTTTCAGGTCTGTGATTGTTTGCTTTATTCTCCTAAAGTTTTATTATCTCCTAATTGTTTGATTATCTACAAAGCAGTGAAGATCACAGTTTTAAAAGTGATTCATATCTAGTGCCAGTTTAAAGTTAAGGATTCTGATCTTGACATTTGTGTCAAGAATTTTTTCTAACTGTAGTAGTCCCTTTTACAGACATACTTTTTGATAATTCAAATTGCACTACAGATTCCTCTGGTTTTCTCTTTCTCCAAAACCTATACCTACGTCAACAATTTACAAGAAGTAGAAATCAGCATGTAAAAAGTAACAGAAAATATTTGAAGTAAATTTAAAAACTTGGTGCTATCACAAATTTTTTGAATTGGTTATCAGCATGGCTTGTACATACTGTGGAATCCATAATTGGCAAACTTGAAAATTAATTTTAATAAAAATGAAAGAATAAGAACAAATAAAAAACTGTCTAAATGAATAATCTCCATCAATGTTCATCATCAAAAGGCTCTTGTTTACTATCATACGTCACAGCTATTTTCTTTAGTCGTACATAATTATCTCGCTTGTGGAAGCCAGAGTTCTGGGTTTGGTATATGGGGAAACATGTATCAACTTGATTTTGTGTGATAAAAATGTTACATCTATTAAATAATTCACACTTAAATAGTTCATGTGAAAACAAAACACTACAGTTTAAGTCCTTAATAAGTAACCTTAAGATGACTATTTCTGGCTAAAGAACTGGGGGAAAAAAAGAAAAAAAGAGCAGTTTATGTAAAGTTCATGTTTCCATATTTTCTGCCACTATACAGGGAAGAAAATTTTATACATATGTCTAACTAGTGAAAACTTAAGTTTTGAAACACATAACTGAAACTACTTTTGCAGCTGCAGCTTGGCAGAACCCTTAACATAACATAACCATCTGCTATAGCTATACAACTTCCAGTTTCTGCCATGAAACATTTCTGAAAACTGTGGCGTTTCAAACAGCTCTGTAGAAGCTGCTCTTCACTTTTGCCATTTTTCCTATTTTACTTTCTCCCATACAATCAGCATGTTTCAGTTGTCATGTTTGAATTGGCAATTTTAGAATAATTGCAACAAAATGCTCTGTTCCAGATGCCTTACCTTTCAATTGTGTTTGGATAAGTAACACAGCTAGAAATAACATCACCAAAAATAGAGAAAACTAAATAACAGGTTTTGGCATTTAACAGCCAGATTTAATGAGTTAAAAATAACTTTGATTAATTTAAAATTAAGATTTAAAGCAAATGTTACAGCATTACCAAACAAAGTTATTCTGAAAATACCTATACTGACTTCTAATAGATTTCATATACTAAACATATTTCTCCAATTTCTTCATGGAATCCATTAACATTCTAGTATAATATAAATTTACATTATGGAATAATATGAAACATAAAATTTACTCCATACTTACAGTAATTTAAACAGCTATAGATGATAAAAAATTTGCCTGTTAGAAACTTTAAAAGTGCTTTAATTTATAGAACTGAACCTGATTGTTTTCATTTCTTAAACAATTGTTAAAGATGTCTGAAAGTCCCTTCTTTTGTAACTGTTGTTTAGATGTGACTATACAGTGCATTATATTAGCAAAATTCTCATTATTAAGGAAATAAAGGAAATGTGAAATTATTTCTATCTCATAATACTCAAACACTAAAGAACTTTGAGACCTTTCTGAGTAACTGCTTCTCCTGTTAAATTGATCTGACATCCAGTTGGTTTAACATCCATGAATATTCCACTAGAACAAAACGTTAACAAAGTCTGACACTTACAGTTTAAGCAAACAAAATAGTGATTTCAAATATTCTAGTGACAACCAAAACTAAGAATTACAAACCCAAACATACCTGGGATGGTTGTTCACATTCCCTAGAATTAGATGTTATATACCCCAGAGCCTTTGACCTCTCTTTGTAGAGATTAATAGCTTGAACCATAGGAACTCGTAACCTGATCCAGTACTCCACGGTACCATAATTTTGAATGTTTCCTTTGATTCCTAAGGAATAAATGCATACAGAATTGCATTCATTTTCTTCTCAAAATTAAAGTACTTAAAGAGAGGAAATGCCGCAAATGAAAGATTAGTTCTCTTGTGACTATGTGTTATGACAGTATGTATCACAGTTCATGTTAGAAACAGGAACTCCTCTGGCACTACCTGTATGATCCCAAACACGACCATTTCTTCCTTTTATTATCTGCAACATTTACTGTCCAAGCTACAGTGGCAAATGCATTACTTGCATCACTTTAGGGCAAATAAAGCTTAGGACAGTTTTGCGTGTCATCAGTTGGAGGTGTCCCATAAAGTGGTATACAGTTTAAATTACTGGCAAAAATACCACTTCATAATGGCTTATTAAAAAAATTTTGACAAAACTGGACAGTTAGAGGTCTCTGAATATACTGGCCTGAAAAAATACTTCTAAAAGAAAAAGTAAGCAGCACAGGATATTAAGTACTTCTTGAAAAATGCTTGTGCAGGATATATTAAAATTATTTTAAACCAATGAATTAAAATGAAAAAAATGCACAACTACCTTCCACACACATTACGCTACTCCATGAAACATTAATTGTTGTCACCACTATTTGCACACCTGTTTGACACCTTACAACGACAACGCAATCAAGTATATAGCTCTATTTTTCTCCATGTTTTCTCCATGTTTTTCTATAATTCTGTCAAGTTAGATGATATTATCTTTTATTAAAATTCTTCATATTTGTAGCAGTAACACTTTGCAAGTAACCTTTATATGAGACAAAGTATCACTTGCTATTTTCAGACAAGATTCTCTAATATAATTTCCCGCACATACTTTTCCTGTCACATACTTCAGGATCTCACTAGATTAACACCATCTTTGTCCCTGAACCATTATGGAAAAAATTGCACCTGTCAGAGCTTTCCCACAATTGTTGGTAGAATCACCAGAACGTGCTGTGCATCCAACAGGAAATAGCATGCCGTGTAAACATTTTTTTTTTCTTTTGAAATAGCATTCCACAAATTCACTGTTGGCCAAACACATACTACTTAATTGTCACTTACGATACTGCACCAAACAGAATACTTTTTGATATGTTAATTACCAACTAAATTTGTTGTTCTGCAGATCTTCCCACTGTTTTCCAAGATTTCATGGAACTTCAGTTCACACGCAGCAAGTGTTTCATAATCTGTGCCATATGCACGATGAACCTCAAGTGTGATACTCTTTTGCTGTATATAGTCCAAGAAGCAGTCATCAGCCTGCACGAGATACTGAGAAGTGAAGTCATATGATGGGGTATACCCATAAACCACTGGAGTTATCTGAAGTTCGAAGTCATAGAATGCATAAGTACAAAAAGTTGCAGGTTCACAGACACCAAAAGCCTGCACAGTTCCAGAAGAGAAGATCACTTTGCTGATATGAATTTCAAAAAGGTTCTCTCCTCTTTTTAAATGTAGAATTTCATCAAATTCATCCACTGGATCACCTGGCAATACTTTTGGTCTGGATTTATGTGGTTTTGTACCATAGGCAATATCTCCTAGTTGGGCTGCAACAAATAAAATAGAGCTACAATAAGTCTCGTGCAATGATTAAAAAAAGTATTACTATGCGAATATAGCAGAGGCTTAAGATACATATTTTTGCAAGGTTGAACTAAATTTGCCAGGGAAAGAAAGGCTATGTCTGACTTTTCAACCTCCACAGTACCTTGAGCAGTCAGAACTATCAGCAAAAACCTTTACATGTTGCCTAGCCTCCCATGCTGTAAATGGTGAACAAATCAATAGCCATGCTTACGGAACTAGGACACAAATTCTCATGCAGTCCTTTAGCACAGGGGATGCAACTTGGAAACAAAACATGAAAATTGTTGACAGTAGGGTTTCTAAGTTATCCTGTTTCTGGCTTCTTATGCACTCATTACACACTGAAGCCATTAGAACAGTATTTTAAAATCATACTGAAATATTTTGCAAGTATATTATTATTCCATGACTTTGGAATTTTTAGCAACACAAAATGATTATGTAATGATAGCAAAATAAAAGGTTTACAATAAATGTATGATTTCTGTGGAAAAATAGTAAAAAAAAAAAAAGGGTAGTTTTTTCCTTATTCAGCAATATCTTCAACAAAATACTGTGTTGATTTTTTGTTTGACTAATAATGTTACTTCATCAATGAAAAAGCACACAGATAATTTTCCATTAAAGAACTAAGTTTTCTACTGGTTTTAGGAATGGAAAAGTGTTTCAACTGAAGAATAAATGTGCAACAATAATTTGCAAGAAACAAAAAAAAAAATTTAGAGAAGAATATACTTCAAGGATACCTTCTAATTTTCTGATACGTGCAGCTCTAATATCAAGAAGATGGACATACTTTTCTAGCTTTAACTCGTAGTCTTTCTGTAGACTTTCCATTGTTTGTGTCACTGTTGCTAGTTCATTCTGAAAAAAAATTGTATGTAAACTGGACTTGTGAGGATTGTCTGCACTAATGCATGTGCTTTTGACTACAAATTAAAACACAGATTTCAGGAAAGAACATTTAAGAATACACAAAAATAGCAGCAATATTTAATTCAGCAAACCAGAAATTAGTTTGAATTTCAGCAAAAGTTAGAAACATTATGAAAAACAGGCTAGCTATTCTTTCAGGATGACGTTTCTATTAGTTTATTTAATGATTTTGTTATTTTAAACTTGGATTAACTGACAAGTCAAAATATGACCTGCAGTAATCGAGCACAAGAGAGTAAAAGCAGTGTGTTGTGGAAAAGGAAGCTTATTTGATAAGTACACTTTATTATTTTTCCTGTGAGGACCTGACAAGAGCTCAGAGATAATCCCAAGAAGTCAGGATTTGAAGTCTCTGATCAGGCTCAGTGAAAAGACTGAAGTTATGGTCATTTGTACATCATGCTTGTTAAACAATATTTCCAGCAACAGCAAATGTTATGTTAGATTACCCATAAACAGACTGGCTTTGTTGCTGAGTTTGCAAGTCTTCATTATAGCATATATCGGTGCTACAAATGTTAAAATGTTATTATTGGTTTATTTTCCACTGTGAGTAGACTTTAGTACCTGGTAATCTTTGTTTATTTTGTGTTGCAAAGTTAACATCGTCCTTGTCTTTTCAAGCTCTTGCACTGTTTCCGCATGTGCTACCCGCAGCTCCCACATGGAGTGTTCTAAGTCCTTATGGTTCTCATTTTCTGCTTTTTCCAGAAACGGCAGGTGCCCATTCTGCTGCTGCTTTTGAACCTGGAGCACATTTGAAAAATTACTGGAACAGACTTTTGCAAAATCTTTGGAGCTAGCTGTGCCTGGTCAAATGTAACACTGGGATACGATTTTAGAACAACAGTAAGAGTGTAAGCACACTGTTGTAAATTTTGAGCACGTAAGACAGAGGTAGACGAGTGTCAGGAATGTGTTCAGTAATGTAATCTCGTGATTATCAGGAACCAATTAAAATGTATGAAGTATTCAGAAGCAATCATTCCTGTCTATCCAATAAAACCATGCACCTCTTAATATAGTTGCCTGTTATATAATTAACATTCCACGTACAAAACCTGAATTATTCTCAGGTCTACATGGCTTCTGTTATTAAAACTGGGGGTTTAATTTTCAGCTAGGTTTTTTTTACTTTTCTCTTTTTTCTTAAAATTATAAGTTGCATTTCAGTAGCAGATAAAGATTCTATTTACTGTAAATAATTCCTCAAGAAATAAAACCTACCTCACTGGAACACTGGCAACTCAGTGTAAAATTCCTTTTCCCCACTGATTTCTTTCCCCCATCCCCACTTCATTTGCATGTTTTCTGTAAACAATAACATTGCAACTTATGTGCAAGAGAAAAAGAACATTTTCTGTGTATTTTTAGTTTTAGTAAACAGGGAAGTTGCTAACCACTGCTGTATTGCATTTTAGAATTTCCATCCTTATAGAATGCTCCTATAAATTACCTACATAAATCTAGATATCATCCTGGCAATTTTTTTCATCTTCCCTTCTGCTTCACTGTAACTGAAGTATATATGACAAAGACAAACATATGAGCTTGAAGCATTAACTACTGAAAGATGGACAAATAATTTGGCAGTGGAAAATGTCAAGCATCATGTAAAAAACATGTAATGGTCAACCAAGGGATAAAAAAAAAAAAAAAGAATAAATGCAAAATATAGAGAATTATAGAATGGGTTGGGTTGGAAGGAAGCTTGAAGATCATCACCTAGTTCCAACCACCCATACGCTTATTCTTTCTACGTTACCTGTATATCCAAGAGAGCTTCATTGAGTTCTGCCACATTAATATCACCTTCCTGAAATAGAAATACTTAATGAAAAGGTGTTATCAGATGTGAATGAACATCAAAGAAATACATTAAAAATAACAAGATGCATTCTTACTGGACACGCAACTTTGCTATATTTCTGTATTCTTTTACTTTCAAGAAGTATTTGCTCACGATGCATAAAACAAAATTAGGTGTTTTGGCTCATATTCTAAACAGAAATAGAGTTTACCTTGGTTAAAAACTTCATGTGATTTCTCAGATCATCTAGTTGTTGCTTATTTTCTTGGTAGCATAGCTGCAGGTCTTTATTCTCTTGCATCAGCTTTTCATTTTGGTCTTAACATAGAAAAAGAACAAAATATTCTACTTAATACAACATAATTATTAAAATAACTTGCTTTTTCATATTAAGATTTAGCATGATTCTACGTAAATTTAACTTTAAAATGTAGACACTAGTGTATTTTGTATAGGGAAATCTTTGGTAAACCTAAACGCATAGGAAACTACTCTGATCCAGTATAGGTGTATGGATTAAAAAAAGGCAAAGTATTCCCACTCTCATTAAAAGGGAATCTACAGCATCAAAAAAATCCACACTTTGTGTATTTTAAAATAGAAAGATATGCCCAACTAAACATAGCTTTCTGTTTTGGAGGGAGAGGGAGAGGGAGGGAAGAGGGAAATAGGACTCTTTGTCAACCTGAAAAACTAAACACCATTAAACTTATCAGTAGAAGGTTATACAGATTTCACACGAATAGCCACTAATGCATAGCTACAGCCGCAATCGTTTCTCAATAAGATACGAGAAAAAAAGTTTAGGATTAAGCAAAATAATTTTGTTATAACAACATCCCTTCTTTCACATGGAAGTTAGAAAAACAAGCTTTTCTCAAAATCATTGATGTTTCTACAGAACAAAAGTACTCTCACATGCCTGCTCTGCCCAAAATCCTTATTCTCTTCATAACAGTGTTTTTTCGACTTCCATTTTTTCCTGTGTCTTGAAAGTCTAAGTTATATTCTCACACCATGTACTTAGATACTATGAATTCATATTTTAGTCCAGAACAATATTAATGCTGTCAACCTGATGTGCAAGTGTGAGCCTTTGTCATTCCCATCTGCACTTGTGGGAGCTGGCTGTTAAAATGGCACATACTCGGCTACAAATATATTCTACTGCTTTCAACAAAATAATCCACAAAATCTTTTAAATGCTGGAATTTTTTTTCTGTTGACCCTGAGGGCATGATGCACAAATAGCTATTTCTACAGAATAACTTTTCATTTTAGAGACTTGAACTCAGCAGGATTGCCAGTCTTGTGGGTTTTGAAACGTTTCAAGAACTGACATCAGGTTAGTTTTAATTCTGCAGAGTTTATATATAAAGTGACATCTTCACTAAAAACGAATCATCTGTAATGCCATTGCTCCTCTACACAGTAGCCTGACTCCTGCATGTGTTGGGACTCCACAAGAGTCACTTTCAATTGAAACACATAATCCATCACCAGTAAGGTTTTAATTCTCTGCAGTTATGAGGAAAATGTAATGCATTTGTGCAACTGAGAAAATATAATTAGAAACAAAGGGCTAAAAATTAGAAAGCAAATAAAAGAACAATTAAAATAAGCCTTATGGATGGGCAGAGAAGGCAGGCTTCATAAATTAAATCTTCTGCACTCTCCCAAAAAACCTTGTCTGCTGAGGGGTCTCCCACAGAGAAAAAATGGCCTCTTCTGCTTATGTTCTTTCTTTTCCCTATGATATAATCTGTGATCTGAACTGGAAATATTTCCAGGAATAAGGAGACAAGATATTCCTCCTCAAGTATTTTTATCTCATTGTCATGAATTTTCTGACAAGAGGAGCAAGCTCAGTCCACCTTTTTTCTAACATAAACCCCAGTCAAGTTTTCGTACACATTTTTAATATTCATTCACACTTGCTGCTTAAAATGTTAACTTCAAAGCTGTAAATGCTATATAGAAAGGAAGCTAGCTTTTGTTCAGTTTGAGGCAATTTCAACAGCTTGTTGAGCCAAAACGGGCCAGTTTGTCAATAGCACAGCTCAGTCTACCTTAGCACTGCCCACGTTGCCTCTCCAGATTCTCAACAGGCTATGTTTCTGTGATCCCAACCAAAGACAAAAATGGAAGACATGCAGGGAAAGAGGCAGGAGGAAAGGGAATGTCTCGGGAAAGGGGCAGGAGGAAAGGGAATGCTTCCACAACAGTCTTTAGGGAAAAAAGTGACAGGGAGTCCTGTCATTCAGTTTTCCCATATAACTATACTGTTTTTCATCAAGAGCCACTTAAACTCTCTATCGGTTGTTTTCACTTATAATACTATCAGCACTCATTGGAGTACACTTGGATTGGGGTTGGTTCTGAACGCTGGCTGCATCTTAGCTTGCTTCCCCTAATTTAACCCAAAAGCTGCAACTGAAGGGGAAGAAGAGGGGGGAGCAAAGAGGCAATTCTCACACCATTGGTGACCACATCCCAGAAGAACACATCATCACACCAATATCAGGGTTTTTGGCAGCAAGGCTATGCAAGTAACAGCACAAGGAAGAGAGAAAAACACTGCCCAGGAGGCCTTGGAAAACACTGCCACAGCAGCTTTTGTGACAGGCCATGAGTAGAAGCAGACTACAGAGTTGCAGACAGCCCTCTGTGCTGGTAAGGGGTGCACAAGACTCCTAAGGGACTGCGCAATAATACTCTTCTCAGCTGTCATCAAAATACGCATTGTGCCAATCACGCAGTCTCATTCAAAATCAGAATTTGAATAAACTTGCATTCCATTCAATATCAGTACATATTTTCATTTTTTTGTGAATAATTAGAATCTTAATCCTCAAAAGCCTCTACATTTGTTCATAACCTACATAAATTCACAGAAAGTGTTCTTATAGACCAACCAGTACCAATAAGGTAGCAGACAAGAAGGAAACCGTCACTGTCCTTCCCTGTAAATAAAGAGTACACATCTCCAAGAAAAACGAGACCTATTTTGCAGAATAAAGAGCAAATATTAACCTAACAAACGAAGAATGAATGTAGCTGGACTTATGTGATCCTCATAGAGCACATAACCTGTATTGGGTCAGTTTCTGTACTTAATATCTAGTTGTAACTTAGGCATATTTCACAAATCACACTTCAGGAAGCTCTGAAAAAAACAACAGAAACTACACTTTCCTGGGAAATATACTTAACTCCAACACAGGAGAAACTCATATAATGAGAAAATGATAGTTATTTCAGAAATATACCTCTTTCCACTTGGATCTTGTCAAGGATTTCATTTTTATCTGCTAAATCAGATTTAATAGCAGCCTCTAATTGAGCAATTTGCAGTTTCAGTTGCCGTTCCTTTAACTTCCATTCCTGTTCATCGGTCATACTGAAGACACTGCAATAAAACATGTGGCATTTGAAAAACTTTTAGAAATAAGCCTCAACACAAAATAATAAAGAAAAAAGCTTTTAGTGGCACAGAGACCACTGTCATCATGTCTTAGGAATTAAGTAAACATATGCTGGTCTGCTGCTGTTGAAACCAAGGCGCCTTTCTCCAGCTGCGGTTAAAAACATGAAAGAGTTTGTGGGATGAGCAAAGGAACTGGCCTTAATTTAGAGCTCTCAAGTCAGAAAAGTTGGCAGCATGCAAAATTTGTGGGACCAGAAAAGGAATTCAGATGCGTATCCCAGAGTAATCCACAACTCCAAACCTCAGCAACTGGCAACTGACAAAACCATTCTTTCCACATACAAAACCTCTTAATGTAGAGAACTGGGATCACCCACCTGATTTCTTTTAAATCTGTGAAACATGCAGAGCCTCAAGTCAGATACCCGTTAAAAGAATTGTTGACCACAAAGTGACAACAGTTTTCTCATATTGTAAAACAACAATTCTGATACTGATTAAGAAGTACATATAAAGTAATCTTCCTCCTACTTTAAGAAATAAAAAATGGACGTGGGCAAAGAAATTAGAATAACTATTTTGCCTGTAACACATTATTTACTTGTAAACTACCAGTCTATATGCAGTAAGGATTGTACGGACACTGAATTAGAATTGCTGAAACCACAAAATGTGTAACTCAGATGGAAACAACATTAAGTGCATTCTACAATTTCCAGCGTAATTCCCAGGAGATAACATGACAAAGCAATGCAGTGTGATTGCACATAATTTAGATACTAGTATGTCCAAAATATGAAGTACTATGGTCTTTATGTTATTACTCAATACTTGCTTCCTTATTGACTGGAAAAATGTCCTTCATCTTAACCAGTTATAAACCAGTTTATTCACTTCTGTATTCTGTGAAAAATCAGAAATTTTAGGGGCTTTTTTTTTAACAAAAGAGTTAGTTCCTTGACTCTTCACTTTGATGAAGTTCACCAATTAAAAAAAGATATTTTTAATATCTATAAATGTATATTAAAAATAATCTTCTGATATCTAACATCATCTGTCTCTTCCAGAGATCTATGTAACAAAAGCCTCAACCAAAAAAACAGAGAAGAAATATTGTAGAAGGGGCAACTCATATATCTTCACAGATGTACATACTGACTTAAAGAGAACCACCCATTTTGATGGTTATTGCTACGTAAAGCAATTCTGAGTACATATAAGTGCATTTATATCTAATATATTTGAAGAATGACCTTAAGATGAAAGGAAAAAGTATTACAGAATGAATTGTAGACTCTTAAGTATACAAGATTTATACTCTTGATTTGTGATCTTCATAAAAACAGTTCTGTATTTTTTTCCCCCCTCATACTATATCTATCTCCCCTATTTATACAGATGTCCAAGCATATACCACGTTAAAGCATGGCAGTGTCCTTCACGGCATGCATGAACTTAGGCAGTGCTTCTCTTACAATAATACATTCTTTCCTCTGCTATAATTTTGAAGACAATATGGAGCAAATATGATGCACTGAACCCACAATGATTTCCATTGTGCTACATAGGTACAGAAAAGACACAGTGTGGTCCACAATTGCTTAGATTCACT